AATTATATTCATCACATATAGATATATATATACACATCTATATTAATATATGTGTATATCACTCCAGGAGTGCAATAAATTACTATGTTTTTATTGTATATTTTGTGTTGTCTGATCTGGGTTATCAGTTTTTGTTAAGTATGAATCTATAATATTATGGAGTGGTTCTCCTTATCTAGGAGTCAAACATTCCTGTTCCATTTATGGATCAATGAATAGGCACGAAATTTTACTGAAGCCAGTCTTTTCATGCACACACAAAATTATATACATACATACATAGTATCTACATACACTACGTACATATCATACATACATTTCCGTTTCGACTCATCATCCGGATGTAGTAAGGGGTCTGTCTATAAACTACAGCGTGAGAAATTAACGGAGTCCCAGAGTCAATCTCCTGATTTTACTGTTCGAAGAGACTCCCTGCATTTACATGATGCAGGATCCATTAGTGACTTCCTGAAAATTCTGCCTTTATATATATATATATCATACTATATACTAACTAGTTCGTTCCAGGAGCACGCGCAGCCTCGCAGAATTACCGATATTGTTTTTCAGCAAATGTCAAAAAAAATATGCCAAGGACCGTGCAAACTGCAATGAATCTATCAAACATAAGACATGCATGCCGTTATTGTTAAATATCTTGAATTTTTTGAACTGTAGACTGCGGCTCCTCTTTTGCTGTGGACTCCTCTTTTTAGAGCAGGGAGTCCGTTAGATTCCCTTGTTCAAAAGTTAATTTCTATCCCTGCTAAAGGATGTACTATTGCACGTACGATATATTCAAATTTATGCAATCGATACTGACAAACTATGCCACCGATTTGACTAACAGTTTTGCCTGCTGAGACTTTGAGTCAGTATGAGTAATTACATGTTTATCCAGTTTCACCTGCCAACTAAACTCTTTTTCGAAGCTGCTTGAAAGAAGTTACTTAAAATCGCGAATTGCCTCAAACAGTACTAAGCTCAAGCACCACGCTTAATAACTCAATGCAGTTGGTTGGAGTGGCTTGTTGGATAGAGGAATGCCTCCCATAGAGTTGTTGAATGTTTACAGACAATCATTGCCCAGCCGCTGGCTTCTATCACTCCAACCCCTACCTATGATACATGCCAAAAGACTTTCAGCTTATTCTGTTTTCTTGACTTTAACTTTGCTCTCCTGCTCCTAATTGCATTTTAGCTAAAACACACCACCAAACAGAGTACAGCTGAATTGTAAAACTCCACCGCAAAACTAGGATTCTATATATAGTATGTTCGTTCGTAAAGAAAAAATTACATTCTGATAATGGCTTTACAGGATGTTTCACCTCCCACTTTGACCTGTAATACACTTGTCCGTTCCACATTACCAGCTATATCACCAGAGCTATGCCATAACCACGTGAAGCAAGGAAAGTTAGTTTAAGTAATGAGAAGTTACGATCTCAGTGAAGACAGATTTTACAGAAGCAAGGACATAATTTGGCGAGCTCACTGCCGAAGCCATCTGCCGCCCCCCGTCGTGTTGTACATATGTGTATGAGTCCACACGAGTAGCTTTTCCGTCACACGTCCTGAAAATTAGGAAATAGCAGTTGACTGCTCAGCCTGCTTGGTTTCTAGTCAAATTGAAACCAAAACATAGAGTCCAATTTCGATGAGTCATTTGCCACAGCACATGATCACAGATGCTGCAGGACTACAATTAGTGTTGGCTGACGACTAATTGGACTATTCTAAAACACATTGACTATTTGCGACAATCTTCTAGCTACCAGCAGGAAAATTTTTTCACCCATATACGCATAGACGCATTTCCACAGGAAATACGCTGCCAATAACGTGGGTATGCAAATAGATTGAAACTAAACTGCATTGGTGGCTCGTCTGGTACATGGAAATTGCTGCAAAATTCATTGGGGAATAGCTACACGTAAGTTACTATCATGCTGACATAAAACTGTATATGTTGTTTCAGGAACTGCTAAGCAATGACTGTGGCTGATGTTCTGCAGCATGCTGCCTCATGTAACTCCAGCTACCAGGGGCGTCAAAATTTAATTTTATCTTTAATGGTCACTTTTTTTAACAACATTTCTTATATCTCACTACAGACGGGGTTGAATTTATGGGAGAATGTACAACGACAAACACCGTTTATTATCAATATAATAACCGCTGCCCTCTAAATATAAGGTAAATCTATACAGTGTGACTTATCTTTAAAAGTTCAAACAGTAGTGAAATTATGATTTTACCTAACTAAGCAACAAGAAGTTTTGCGCTATGCAATTAGGGTTTTGCAGTAGTTAGATGCCATATCTAAACCCAATGCGATTACAATACCATACATTTGATCTGATCGTGTAGTTAATGTATCAGGTGTGCGAATTAAGTGAGTCCGGAGTCAAATATCCCTCCATTTGACTGTCGGACTCCCTGACTGGACATATGTCACTAATTACTGTAAAAAGCGTCACGTCAAATAACTCACTACACTTACTGAACGTATAGCTTTGAAATAAAACATGTAAAATGCATGCTATCAAGTCCATATTTGTCATCGAAGAAACAACTCAGACCTCGACGCATTATTCAGATCTGTTGTCTGTCGGCGCCACAAGATAGCCAATTTTTACCTCGGTCCGAATTTTACTTGCTCAATCTTATGAGCCGTTATGTCTCTTTTGCCGTATCAGTGCATATCATATTATCGAGGCCAGTGTTAATAGTAGAGAACCTATATTATATATATGATATATAAATAGATTTATACATATATAACATATATAGAGCAGATGTACGATATATATATATAGTATATTATACACTCCTGATACTTTTGACAGTATTCCCTGGTGCATATTAGACTGCGCACATTACCTAGGCATGTGTCTGCCACTGGTGTTTGCAGGCGTGTGCGTGCGTGTGTATTCGCGCTTACGAGTATATATACCCGTATTTCCTTGTGTATAACCGCGACTTTTTGTACACAATTTAATGAAAAAATCAGGTGGTGCGACCTTATAGACGAGGCTAAATACTTGTTATGTACAATGTTTACCAACTTTTCAATGGCAAAATATGGGGTCGAGACTTATATATACATGAATTATACCAAGAGTAGATAATACAATTTCTTATGTTGTTATTTATCTACGTTTATTTATACTTATACAGAGTAAATACAGTACAATGTGAAATCGTAATGAAAATTCACACGTTTATGTTTGCATGTGTGGCACGCTCTTAGTGTGTCATTACCGATTGCGCTTTTTCCTCAATTCACGGAAAGAGTTTTGCTGTCGTTCTCTCATCCCAGCGCATGCCCACCCGCCTACATATTCAGTAATGAATATGCCCAACCGACTTATAACAATCGTACCCCAGTACTACAATCAATGCTGCCCGGCCATAGAGGTTAACGCATTTGCCGCTCTGAACTAAATCGTGTAATGGTAACAGTGGGGTGTCGCAGGCTGCTTTTTTCAGGGACCTTTTGAAAACGTTTAAGTGAGAACGTGGTGCGATACCGCCCTGGCTCATGTAGGATGTTCAAGAATATTAAACAACTAGAACTTTTCAAGTTGCTCCGTTCAGGCAACTAGGCCCAAAGATGAATAACTTGTCCGACATAGACTTTCACTCTGTCCCGGGCAATCGGACAACCGTTAAAGTGCTAGCCGTTTCTGCAGGGATAACGTCCTCTGCCAAAAGACAAACAATCCTTTCTGGACATTCCGGTCCAGTAAAAAAGTAGATTTTTACCGACCGAATGTATGTTACTGGACAAAAAAATAATTGAAAACATTAAAAACACATTCACATCTCTGTTGCTTTTCCTTTGATGGACATATCTGAACATATATGCTTTCCTGCATCATCACAGCTATGTCTGTGACCCGTCCATGCATAAAGCTGAAAAAGTAGCGATTCTTTATTTATTCATCCATTTTCGTGAACGCGTACAATCAGCAATGCATTGCTTGCCAGCTTTGTCAATTAATGTAGGTTTCACCTATTTCTACGCCTTTTGGCCTTGTCCAGTGTGTGTTGATCCATGGTCATAAATCAGTGATCAGTTAATATAAACTTCCCGATCGATAGGTTCCCACAACACCGATCGACATGTTCTCATTTTCTTATCTTTTATATATAAACAGCTAATACTTCTTCCATATCGCTTTACCACACCATTAGAATTATATTTGCGATCACACGGCATATATAGATTGCCATAGCAGAGCGATATTAGAGTTAGGATAGTGTGTTGGTACCTGACCGTACCCGTGCAGCCCTCTGCGTAATTAGTTCGATGTGTGAATGTTACCTGACACGCGGTCTGTGTAAAGCCAAATTCTTGTCGTGACCGGTAGCAAAAAAATCACCGGTTTGTCCGACGGTCCGAACGCTTTTGGCGAGGACTGAACTAAGAATTGACGAGGGTCAACCAATGGCCTGTAGTTTATTTAGGTAGGTTGCTGTGCAGGACTCCAACAACAACGCCGATCCATAGCCTACTTGAAACGATCTCCAAAAAAAAAAAATCTAAACACGGAATGTATTTACTACCAAAGTCTTAATGTTTCTCTACTCTATTTCGCCTATTATTGCCAATAATTACCCGTAAATGCCGGTCAAATGCTAACCTGCAACACACAAGTACACCGCACGCCCGCCCTGTGCACAAACAACATGAATATCAATAAGAGCGTTGAGCGAATTTTGCGATCACGCTTTCCTACCTGCTCTCTTATTCACGTCGTTTCAATGTTTGTGCACAGGGCGCGCGTGCGGTGTACTTGTGTGTTGCATATGAGCATATGACTATGAGAATTATCATTATGACCAACATTTACGGGTAATTATCGGCAATAATAGCCGAAATAGAGTAGAGAAACATTAATACTTTGGTAGTAAATACATTTCGTGTTTATTTACCTTTTTTTTAATTGAGACGTTCCAAGTGCCTGTGGCTGTGACCAGATCCTGCTTACCTTTGCAAGATTACTGCGACAAACTGGGCAATAATTTTCCTGACACAGTACCCTCATCCGTGTAGAACACTCGCAACACACAGCATGGTTACATTCACCGAAGGAATATATACTGATATCTTTACAACAAATATTACAACTAATATCACTCTCAAGTCTTTTTCGACTATTTCTGCTCATGATTTCAATGTTATGTGGACAAGACGTGAGATAGTTTCGATAAATGTTGCAACCACTGCAACGAATGAAGGTTGTTCTTTTGTCATTATCGCCAGCGCCACCTTTCGTAATGTGAGGAAATCAACGTGTGATGAAACCTGAAACTACCAACTACAGATAAACTTCTTGATGAACACATGATGAAAACCAAGGAAATCTGTGAACCTGTGAATGAACTATGGAACTAATAAAAGATTAAGAAAATAAAAAATACCTGATTTAAAGTTGATGATAGAGATGGGAGAAAGTACAAGAGGTGGAAGAGAGAAGTAAATGGGGGAGGAAAGAGGAAGAGAAAAATTGCGGGGGAGAAATAAAATTTAAATTTTAGAAGAAGAGAATGAAGCAGCTATAGTGCAGTCAGTGGCGTAGCCAGCAATTGGAAACAGGGGGGACCAAGGCGAGGGAGCGAAGCGACCGAGGGGGTAGGGTGTGGGAGGGGTA